CGAGATTTTGTTTGTTTTTTATTTTAATTATAAATATAAGATTCTAACTCACTTTATTTTTATATTTATGTATTTTTTTTAAGTAGTCCTTCTAATAATAGTAATTCTAGCTAATACACTTGATTAGCAAGGATATTTTAGAAAGACAACACCTATTTATTACAAATAACTAACTCAACATATTTTCTTAATCTCCTCAAATTAGTCAACTAGCTCTTATAATTAAGACCGGAGGTAATATAATCTTTCTCCAAACTTATGTTTTTTTTTTAAACCTCACCAAAAAAATTTTTAAATTAAGTTCAGCTCCAACACTTTAGGCTTTGACAGAATTTATAAATAATAACACATTTTTATAAAATAATTTTATTTAAAATTTAGGGGGCGTTTGGATACCAAAAATCACTTTTCAGAAGTATTTTTTGTAAATCGAGACAAACTCCTCTACATATTTATTTCGCATACCGTAAAAGCACTTCTAAAACTATAGTTTTGATCTTACCCAAGTGATTCCAAACCTTTTTTTTGAAGAATTCTTTTTTTTTTTTGCTTGCTTTCTTCTTTGAGCACTAGATGTCGTGTCCCTTGTGACACGTATTGCCAAATTCGGCTGGAAATTCTCCCTCAGGCCACTTTTGATTTGACTAATGATTATTGTCATTGTACTATATGTCAACGTGATGGGATATTAAAAAAATAATTATAATTTTATTATATTTTTAAAATATTAGAATTATCTAAAATATTTAAATTATTTATATTTTTAGGATTTATTTAGATTTCTTAGTATTTCATTATTTTATTATTAAAATTAAGTGTTGTTATTATTATTTTAGTATAAATAACTCTAAACTTCTCATTAGATGACAGACTTAATTATTGAATGATATTATAGTTATCATTTTCTTTTTGCTTGTTTCCTTTTCTATTTTCCCTTTTCTATTTTTTCTGATCTCTTTCCTTCCCCTCTTCTCTTTCCGTTTTACATCACAATGGTTATAAATTTCAATGAGAATTATAGCATAAAACAAACAACAGTATGGTGCTTTTTTCTTTAAAAAAATTAGAGGGATAAACACTAAAATTACAAGTGATATGTAGTATGTGACCTCCCACCTACTGAAAATTTTTTATATTATTAGGCTGGTATTGTATGGTGATTTTAAGGGTATATTTGCATATAGCTTGCAAGCACTGGCCCAATTCCATGATGTGCTTGTTTGGTTGCTTTTGTTAACCTGTGTTTCACCCTCCAAATGTTAGTTTTTTCCGACACGAGTAATATGTTGATTTTGTCAAATTGGATTTTCCAAAGGAAAAATAACAGTAAAATATCATGTGAATTTCAAAAAGACAAATAAGGCACCTGAATAAGCAAAATGACAAAGAAGGCATCAAGTACCAATCTGAAATTTTGATTTTTGACCTAAAGACCGAATTGCCTTTATTATGTTTGAAAACTGAGGAAATAGAGAAAGGTAGAAACCGCCTCCTCCCGGCAAAAGCAATCCCCCCACTCAGCGAAAGAGAAACTGCCCCCACTTGGTGAAACCAATCCACCTACTTGGTGAAACTAATCCCTCCCCTCAGCAAAACCGAATCCCCCTACTCGATAAAACCAATCCCTCCACTCAACGAAACCGAACCCCCCCACTCGACGAAACTAAATCCAAGCTCCTCCAATCACCAAAAAAGGTTCTCCGATTTGCAAGGGGATTTGTATGTAAGGGGATTTGCAAACTATTTTCAGGAAATGTAAAGCTGTCTGATTTTCAAGTATTGTTAAATCATTTGCCCAGAATGTTACTACACGTATAACGAGATTTATAACTCGCGAAGTGAATTTGACCACTTCTTCGAGGGGTTTGACAACCTGTTTTGAGGGGCAGGGCAACTTTTCTCTACAAAAATATAATTCCATGCTGAATTTGACAAAACACATAGTGGGATTTATAACTTTCACAGTGAGTGTTACTACATTTTTAATGGGATTTGTAACCTTTTGTGAGGGGCTGGCCAATGTTTCTATCAAAAACAAAACAATTCCATGCTGAATTTTACAAAATACATAATGAGAATAACAACTTTCACAGTGAGATTTACTACTTCTTCAATGGGTTTTGTAACCTTTTGTGAGGGGGTGGGCAACTTTTCTGTCAAAAACAAAACAATTCCACGCTGAATTTTACAAAACACATAGTGGGAATAACAACTTTCACAGTGAGATTTACTACTTTTTCAATGGGTTTTGCAACCTTTTATGAGGGGCTGGGCAACGTTTCTGTCAAAAACAAAACAATTCCACACTGAATTTTACAAAATACATATTGGGAATAACAACTTTCACAATGATATTTACTACTTCTTCAATGGACTTTGCAACCTTTTGTGAGGGGCAGGGTAAATTCTCTATAAAAAACAATACAATTTCATGCTGAATTTTACAAAACACATAGTGGTATTTACAACTTTCATAGTGATAGTTACTACTTTGTGTAGTGGAATGCACCATTCACGAAACAATATTTGCCAAAAACAAGCAGCCATATAACAGCAGATACATTACATATATTCAAATGACTGCACCTGAGGTACATCAAAGTAAACATTGAACCATTAACTTTCATACTAACTACATGTGTAATGGAATGTATCATTCACGTAACAGTATTTACTAAAAACCAATAGACATATGACAGCAGATACATTACATATATTCAAATGACTGCATTCTACTCTTGCGACAGTTACCAATTTCACCGACAGCACTTTACTCTTGCAACGGCGGCAATGTGATTTCGAAGAACCTTTTTCGGTGACTGGAGGAGCTTGGATTTAGTTTCGCCGAGTGGGAGGATTGGTTTCTCTGAGTAGGGGGATTCGGTTTCGCTAGCTGAGTGGAGGGATTGGTTTCGCTGAGTGGGGGGATTGCTTTCATCGAGAGGAGGTGATTTCTCCCTTTCTCCATCTCCTCAGTTTTCAAACATAATAAGGGCAATTCGGTCATTAGGCCAAAAATCAAAATTCCAGATTGGTGCCCAATGCCTTATTTGTCATTTTACTTATTCAGGTGCCTTATTTGTCTTTTTGAAATTCACATGGTATTTTATTGTCATTTTCCCTTTTCCAAACTGGGTTTTTAACTTTTTATGAAGTTGTCTTTAAAAATTGATATTCAAACATGCACCAAATGCTATATACCTTTTTTAATGTTCTAAGGTATAAAATATACATATATATAAATTTAATTGATTTATACTACTTCCGGTCCTTAATATAAGACCTGATTTAATTTTTGTTTTGGTCCTAAATATAAGATCTCAATCCACTTTGTCTCTCATATTTATGTTTTTTTTAAAATAGTCCTTCTAACAATAGTAGTTTTAGCCAATACACTTGATTAGTGAGGATATTTTAGAGAAAAATAACATCTATTTTTTTCAAATAACTAACTTAACTTCTTTTCTTTATCTCCTCCAATTAGTCAACTAACTCTGGTAAATAGGACTGGAGGTAGTATTATTTAAAAATGTATTAGCATATAAATTTATGTATACCACTTATAGTAAGACAAGGAAATAAGGTATATATAATCATGCTTAATAGAATGACTAACACTATATGGTCTATTTTTGTGAAATTATAAAGTCAACAATTTTTTTTCTAATGAAAAACACTAAATCACTAGTGATGTCATGGATGAAGCCAGATCTGTGTTTTGTAGGGATTCGCAGGTTGTGCTTAGCTACACCTTAAGAGATGATAACAAAATAGTTGACCAACTTGCCAAGCACTGTTATATCACATGCTAGATGGAAATTACCGAGCCTTTAATCACTATTCATCTTTTCTCGGTTGGGATGGTTGGTGACGAAAGAAGCTTGTCTTTTGTTGTTCTTGTTACTTTCTTAGTTTAGGTTAATAGCTCAGTTTTCTCTTAAAAAACACTGAATGAATCACAGTCCTAAACAAACAAATATCTTCCCGAATTATTAATCAAAATATGTGTAGACACACCAATTACAGGAAGGCAGTAAACCAAGGAAATAAGAAATTAAAAAACTATTAAACTACTTCTCCAGTCCTTAATATAAGACTTATTTAACTAATTTGATTAGATTAAAAAAGTTAGGTAAGTTAGTTAATTATAAAAAATATGACATGTTTTTTTTAAAACACTATAATTATCTTTTTTGATATTCTCCCTCTCTCACTTATTTGATTATGGTTGAGAAAGTATCCATATGGGTAATTTAGGAAAAATTGATAACTATGAGAAATAAGTCTTATATTTGAGACCAAAATTAACTTAACAATTAGGTGCTATATTAAGAACCGGATGAGTACTTCAATTAGTGAGAAAAAAATCATTTCTTTTTATAAATTACTAGCTCTTGTCTTTAATATAAGAGCTTGTTCAATTTTTATTTTGATCTTAAATATAAGATCTTAATCCACCTTACCTTTCATATTTATCCATTTTTTTCCAAAGGAATCTTTATAAAAGTGATAATTTTAGCCAATACATTTAATCAGTAAGAATATTTTAAGAAAGAGAACACATATTTATCACAAATAACTAACTTAACTAATTTTTTTTAATCTATTTAAATTAATTAATTGGTTTTTCTATTAGGAACTGAAGGTAGTAATACGGAAAAAAAAAGGAGTTTATAAAACATACATATACTAGACACACAAAAAAAAAAGGCTACGACAAGAGAGTTTATCAAGACCTGGCTTATAGTCCTTGGCGAACAATATTCTCTATGGCAAGTATTCCAATTACGGACTAACTAAATTCTTTTTGGTATGTTGACTTTGACATTCAACTTCTCTGCTGAGATCCCTTCTTCTCCGAGCCACCTTCCTAAAATTTAATATTTTTTTCAAACTTTCTAGCAATATTGACCTGCTATTTTTATATTCATTTCTTTGCTTGAATGTTTGTTGTTTCCTTATAAATTTCGCAAACCGAAACGCTTTCCTACAGCAATGCATAAGACCCAAATAATCATACAATATAATTTACAAAATCACCAAGAATAAGTTAAATAATTATATTGTATAATTATTTTTTGGTTATTCCCAGACAAGAATATAGCACGTATTCTGTCCATTATTATGCTGTACATACCATGCATGCATCAAACAACCTCCTTACGTCGCCGTTTCGGGTTAAGTAACCCCTTTTTGGTTTCTTCGCACCTCCGTGCCCTCTTTCGTCTTTTTACGCTCTGTATGCTTCACAGCTTCACTCCACTACACAGTCCACAGTGTCCACTGATCGCTGATCATACTCACAAAGAACAACAAACGGTTGGAGTGATTCGTCGGCGGGCAGCGGTGGCGCGTGTGGTGAACATCGTCGTCATCCGCTAGCTGTCAGAGAACAACCGAGAGTGACGGAACAGATCGTATGGGGCCCACAAGCTATCCAAAGGGCATGGCCTCTTCGAGTCAAGCCTCAGCCATGGCTTCCCCTTCCCGCTCCAGTGAAGCAGGCTCACCGGACCGGGATGAAGATCCCGGCACAAACCTTCCAGATTGTCGCCGCCTAGCCCGTGCTGGTTCCACCGGTGCTCCACCCTCTTGACTTCGCCGGCGAACACCAGTACGAACGGCGGCAGTGAGCCTAGCTCGTAGATCCGGTACCGCTTCTGAATCCTCATCCAGTTCTCAAGCTTCTCCGTGTACTTTCCTTCCCTCCATTTCCACAGATCGATCACCATGACGCCGGTGTTGAAGTAGCATGGCTTCCGCCCTCGAAACGACGCCGCATAGGTCGGATTGGACCAGAACTTCGGAGTGAAGTAATTGGTCAGATTGGCGTGACAATACTCGGGAGCGCCAAGCACACGCGTCCCCAAATCGATGTTCCAGAGATTGGCAACGTCATCCACGACGATCAGATCCGAATCGAAGTAGATTATCCGGCGAACTCCGGCCGGTAGGAGGTCGGCGAGATACATCCTCGCGTAATTGAGAGGCTGATCGAGAGCTCGGCGAATGGAGTAGGAGATCTTCCCCTTCACGAGGTTCGAGTCGAAGTGATACAGGTGGAAATTGAGATACGGGAACGTAGAAGTGATTATCCGCCGAAGCGCTGAGCGCCGGTGCGTGGTGGCGATGAAGTGGAACACCACATTCTCCGGACAAGACGAGTGCTGCAGAACCGAGAAGACGCCGGCGACGGAACCACGGAGATAAGTGGCATCGAGAGTCATCGCGATGTGAATGACAGACGACGGGCTGTGAGCTCGTTCGTCGAGGGCTGACCACGCCGTTTTAGGACACTCCCTTCCATTGCGAAATGCCGGTGCCTCCCTGAACACCGGGAGCTCGCCTGTGCCATCACAAGCCGGGAAACCCACGACGGCAACGAGAAAGACGATAAAAATAAAGACAGTGTGGCAACGGAGTGTCGGTAGCATGGTGGGGGTGCGCGCTCTAAACAGATAAGAAAGGGAGAGAAGGAGAAGGCATATTGTTACCTTGAAAAAAGGTTAAGGGTTTTTTTGGAATTTGGCATGAATGATTCAAATCGGTGTGGCATGGTGGGGCCCGCGAAAGCGATATGGGAGGGTTTTGCCAGGCTGGAAAGACGCGTGAATGAGCGGGGTGGGGTGGGAAGAAGAATAGAGGTGTTTCATGTAGGAATCGTGGGAGCGGCGGATTCATCGTAGACATCGGAGGTAAATATTATCGTCGTTATGTGCCAAAAGAAAAATTCCCGTACGCTAAGCGGATAACAGAACACAACCGTACCTTGTCGTTTGACGATGATTGGTGTGTCTGGTGGGTGATCACGGTTTGGATGGATGAACGGCTGTGATCTGATGTGCTTTTATTTATTTATTTAGTAATATTATGGAGAAAATTCCTTTCGTTTTTGGACTGATATGGAGAAAATTATTCAATGACCTGATCTTGGGAGGTCTGCTCAATAATTAAATTAAAAAAAAAATTTTGCTGCTCTCGAAATTTAGATTTCTAATGTGTTATACTTCCGACTCTTAATATAAAAAATAGTTTAACTTTTAATTTAGGTATAAGTATAAGACTTTAATATATTTTGTCTATCATATTTATTTATTTTCTAAAAAAAAGTTTTTATAATAATTACAGTTTTAGCTAATACACTTAATTAGCAAGAGTATTAAAAAAAGATAACATCTATTTATCACAAATAATTAATTTAATTAATTTTTTTAATCTATTTAAATTAGTTAACTAACTTTTATATTAAAACTGGAGGTAGTATATTTTGATAAAAATGTTTTAGGACATGTTTTTTCTACACGTTATACAAGATTTTTCTAGCGGCAACTTGTGTCTTGCTTTACTGGATCATTTCCAAATATCTGTTTTTGCCGAAGGATCATTTCCAAATATCAGATTAAGGGTGGGAGAATAACAATTTGAATATGACATACTACTCACTCAAATATATACATATATATATATATATATGACATACTACTTCTGGTTTTTAATATAAGACTCAGCTAACTAATTTTAAAAATTTTAAAAAAAATAAAAAGTTATATAATTATAACATATATTACATTATCCTTCTGAAATATTTATGTGTATCATTAAAATATAAATTAGTTTATGAGCCAAACAAATTAATTTGAAAAAAAATGATAAATATAATATTTTAAAGTAATTTAATTTAACTTTTTTAATCTCTCTAAATTAATTAATTAGGTGTTATATTAAAGGCTGGAGGTGGTATATATGTGTTTAGTTTGTTATAGATTTATCCTCATTGCTTATATATGTTTATTTTTAAATAAAAACATTGATGATTGTTGGCGAAAAAAATTGATGATTGTCTTGAAGGGTTTGGTAAGGTACCTTCGTTTCAAAATAATTATTAATGTACTGTCTCTTCTCTTTAAATTTTTATTTTAATTCTAAATATAAAACCCTAATTCACTTTATTTTTCATATTTTTTTTTTCAAGATAAACCTCGTAATAATGGTAGTTCTAGCCAATACACTTGATTTGAAGGATATTTTAAAAAAGACAATACCCGTTTACTCTTCCGATCCTTAATATAAGACATATTTAACTAATTTAATTATATTAAAGAAATTAGATAAGTTAGTTACTTATAAAAACCATGATTTGAGTCTAAAATTATCCAAACACTCTATTTTTTTAGAAAAACTATGGTTTAGGTTAAAAATATACTAAGGGGGTGTTTAAATGAAACCAAACCGTGGTTTGAAGAATAGTTTCTAAAGAATAGATTCTGGGGAGAATAGATTTGGTAAAGAATAGATTTTGTGAAAAAGTGATTCTGAGAAGTGAGAGTGTTTTGATAGTTATTACCAAAAACACTTTTTACACATAGAAATTACCAAAAATGGTATAAGTTAATATAATAATTATATAAGGAATAGATTTTATGATATATTTTGATTTGAAGAAATAAAATTGTTAATGAAATAATTTTTACTAACATAATTAATAATATATAAGATAGTATAATTAATGCATAATTAATATGTGTATATATATTTATAAAACATAATATTAAATTTGTTTATAAAAAAATGAATTTTTTTTGCTAATAGAAAAATATTAATTTTCTTTAAAGATTTTAAACATAAAATCCCATAACATTTTTTCACAACTAGTTTTTGTAATAACATACTACCTCCGATGTTTAATATAATTAATTAATTAATTGTCACCACATGTATATATATTCATAAAATATAAGAGTAAAAATATTTTTGGAGAAGATGAATTATTTTGTTGTGCAATTATTTGAGCAAAGGAGGAAAGGAAGAGCAATTATTTGAGCGGGGCTATTTGGTCATCTGTGATGGACCCACCGTAAGCTTCCAATAATTGGAGCTAAGAAGCAACTATGATCTGCTTCTGATAAAACCATAGTTTGAGGGTTCAAAACCATGGTTTGCCCCCAAACCATGGTTTTTTATTTTTAGGGACTGTTTAGTTGACATTTTTTCCAAACCATGGTTTGGGGTACTTGCCAAACAAGCTTGTAGTCAAATAACAAGAGAGTATGGAAGAATGTTTCCAACTTTCAAAACTAGATAATTAATATAAGCATTTCATATTTATAATTTTTAAGATAAAATAATTTTTTTGTTGAAAAAAATATTTATTTTTCTAAAAACGTGTTTATTTTTATGCTTTATAAGTATATATACAAATACTAACAATTAATTAATTAATTATACTTTTTATATATTACTTATTTTCTTGGCAAAAATAATTACTAGCAACTTTATTATTTCAAATGAAAATATAAACTAAAATATAACTTTTATGTAATTATTATATTGATTTATACCCTTTTTAGTAATTTGTATATATAAAAAGTGTTACTGATAATAACTATCCAAACACTCTCATTTTATCATAATTGTTTTTTCACAAAATCTATTCTTCAAAAAATCTATTTTCTCAAAATCTATTTTTCAGAAACTATTCTCCAAATTATGATTTGGTTTTATCTAATCACCCTCTTAATTTCATCTTTTGTTTAACTGATACATTTCTTGGAGCTGAGAATTCTCCGCCTCTTCTTTTTTTGGGTTGAAAAGGACAAAGAACCTTCAAAATAATTTTAGAAATTTGAGGCCCTTACTAGTGATTAACTAACTCATCAAATAGGTCCGAAGTACTTTCCATAACTCTCCTTATATTTTATTAGTTCTTTCTCGATGATTTTTCTTGGCCAGATCAAAGTAATCTTCCAAGGACTGGATCAATGAATTTATCTCCTATCTTGAATTTTTTTGTTAGGCATGTTCATAGGTGATGCATATGGACAAATCATTGAACTCAACATTGTGGAGTCAATTCCTAGGTCTACCAGAGTGTATTGTGACCATATACAGCACTCTTTTGATCCATATTATAAGAACTTTTTTAGGAAAATTTTTTTTTGATTCATTTTATATGACGTTTTGATAATTTTAGTGAGTACTAAATATTTTTTTTTATATATGTCCATATTTAATTAGATTAGTGAGAGAGAATAAAAATTAATTTGACATTGAAATTCATTGTACTTAATAAAGGTAAAATTAAGAATCATTTAAATTTCATGACAAATTTAATTCTTTGAACCATTTTTATTAATACGTGTGAATTAGATAGAAACATGTTATATTAATCAAAGGGAGTATATAGAATTCTCTCTCTGTTCCTTTTTATAAGATACAATTCTCTGAAAGTGAATGTTTCATTTTATAAAAATCGCTTTGGAGATGTCTGGATATTGAATGCATTTTCATATTTATCTTCAATTAATTAGATGTCTCTTTCATCTCTTTTTTCAATAATTTTTTCTCGTATCTTTTTTTAATTCATTCTCTCTCACACTTACATTTTTTAAAATCAAGGATTTTTTAGAGAATTGATTATATGTTTTTGCATATTTATTACTGCTAATTAATTTTAACTAATTTATTAATCCAAATTATTCGATTAATCGTCTCTTATGAAAAAAAAAAGAAAAGAAAGTAACGGAGGGAGTATTTTATTAACCATGGATGACAAATTACAAGCCCAAAAATCAAAGTAAACACATTAATTAGGCATTTAATTTTAATTTTAATAGCATGATCGATCTTTTTGGCTTTTCCTAGACTATTCGCTTCTATCTTATTTATAAACTTTAAATTTGAGGAGGAGTGCAATTTATTTTATAAGTTTCAATTTAGGATTATCTTAATATTTAATGTAATTTTTTCCAATTTCATCTTTAATTATTTATCTTCTTTCATTTGCCATATACTTTCTCATTACATTTCCCAAAATATTATCTTTCATCATTTTTTATTTATTATAAAGATATATTTAAAAATAAAAATATAGTTTTAACAACTACTTGTTACTGAAATGGGTTTCACAACTCGTAGCAGTCTCCTAGGCAACTATGAGAAACCTTGTGTTCCCTTTCTTTGACTAAAAGCCACCAATTTTAGTTTACACTTAGAAAAAATCATTTTGGAGGTATCTATATATATATTTTTTAATTTTCAATTTCATACTTATGTGTTTTTTCTCTTAATTAAATATTTAATATTAGTTAATTAACATTATTAATCCTTGCATGGAGACTATAAATGCTAACAAAACAAAATTACAAGAGCTAATGTTACTAAAAAAAATAAAATTAAATGATTTAATTAAGAAAAAAATACATAAATATCAAATTAAAAATTAAGAAAAAAGTATAGATACTCCCAATATCGTTTTTCTTAGATTTATTACAAAGTAAACCATGGCTAACCGGTCGCGACATGTTGTTTGTTGATATATATTGAGGACTGAGGAGTTAAACCTTTTTATATTTTGAATTAATTTTAAATAATTATTTATTATTTATTTAATGTTTATAATAAAAAGTAAAAAAAAACATTGTTTGAGATTTACAAAATAAAGGAAAAAGTAATTTGGAAGTCCTTATACTTTTACTCAGTTTTGATTTAGATTCTTAGACTTTTTTTTTTCTTTTTTTTATTGAATCATTTAATTTTCAAGTGTTAGATTTATTAGTCCTTGCCATTAAATAAAAATAAATACTGTTAAGATTTTTTGTTAAAAAGCACTAAAACATTTTCACAGTCTGTCTCTTTCCACCAACCCAACCTCTCAGACCAAGCTTTCCTCTATCATTGGCTCAGTCCTCAACATCTCCTTTCCCACCTTTCAAGCTTTTGATATAATAAGGTATAGAATTCCATTGCATTTCCCCCTCCTTAATTCGCAAGATGTTGGGGACTGAGTGAGGAAGGGAGAAAAGCTTGGTCTGAGTGCTTGTTAATGGTGGAAGAGGCAGACCCTGAACATGTTTAAGTGCTTT